GTCCCCCAATTCATTTCTTGCTGCTTCTATTATTCTCTCGTACATCTCCGATCCTGGGTTATTAATTAAGTTCCTTTCTGCTATACGCAATGCTCTTCGCAGTTCGCTTTCCCTAGCCGCCCGTCTTGCAGCCAACTGTCTGGCTACTGCTGCCGTCGCTACTGACATGGCTTCTATAAGGTCCGTGAAAGATTGTGTGTCCGGATTGTGTGTTAGGCACACTTGCAGAATACCTTCCTTCAACTCCTTAGTTCTTAATAATGAATTATTAACCTTATAGAAACTCCTTCCTCTATGGACATGTTTGTCCCTAATGAAGTTAAGAAATATAGGTTTATGATCTAGGCACGTACAATATGATAAGTCCCCTACCCCCACCTAGTGTAATAATCCCACTTTGTCTTGTGATATAAGGAAGTAGTCTATCCTAGATGCTGAAATATGTTGACTACGATTTCTTTTGTAATACGAGAACTGTTTCCCTTCTGGCTGTTGAAGTCTATATGGGTCTACCAGATCTCCAACCACCATAAGGTTATGAATAGGTAGGGCTTCGTCCCACATCACTCCTTCCCCTAACCCTCACTTTCTGCGTAGTAGTCTGTCTTTACTGGGGTCCAAAGTAGCATTCCAATCCCCAGCCAATATGATATGTCTAGACGGGTCTATATGATTTTGTAACGTATATATCGTCTCCGACCTATGATGTCCTTCGTTCAGGCAATATACTGTAATGAGCGTAAACTGCTCATTCTGATAAGTAAAATCAAGTTTTATCCACCGACCTTCATCTTCATCTACAATGACATCCTGAACTATTATTCTATTTGTAGCTAGCAATCTTTTATTTAATAAGATTACTACGCCTGCTGAATGTGACCTGCCAGCCGCTGCCCAAAAACTTGCCTCAACCCACCTTAGTTGACTTACTATATGCTGTTGGATGTTCTGATGCTCTGGTGATTCCGTAAGGTGAGTTTCCTGCAGGCATAGGGAAGAATGGGAAGACGCGGCGGGTATAGTGCACATGATGGACTATAGGCCAGTTATGATTAAGCTGCAGGAAAAGGCAGTGTTGGCTGAGGGATTGATCTGGATGCCATGGCAAGTAGTGGAGATGATCCCGTATGGACTGCTGGGGGGGGCGGAGGCGGCAAAATGGGTGGCAAGGGGAGCGGCTATAGTGACCAAAAGGGACGTGTTTGCATGGCAGTCGGACTACATTGACGGAAAGATTGAAATCCTGGCTACAACAGTAGAGTGGACCCGGGTAGGATCCTGAGTAGGATGCTTATATAGAGTCAAAGAAGACATCATAGCTCATGGAGGCGGGATTGAGAGAGGGGGTGTATAAGCGTAGAAGGACGGCGGATACTTCAAAGCGTAGGGAGACGGACCTTAGGGTCATGTCTTGGAACATCAATGGGATGGTACAGATTTTGGAAAATAAAGACAAGTGGGACAACGTAATGAGGTACTCAAACTGGTTTGGGATGCCTGCGAGGGCAGATCTTTTGTGATACGTTCCTTCAATATCTCAAGCTCGCAATGACTGTCCTTCGCTGTAATTAGTGCCAGAGACCTTTAGATGGCCACCTCCCAATCGGCGTTGCCGTTGTTCCATCTGTAGGGCAGAATAATTCTCTTACCTGGGTCTTGTCTTGCGTACAATTTGGCCGCTGCATTGATGTCTGCGTGTGGAGTGTAGGCTATTTTTTTGCAAATTTATAGTGTCTTCCTCCAATTCCCTGTTCTGATCCCTGATAGCCTCGACTTGTGCCTCCGAGATCGCTGCCTGCCTCTTTTCCTCTTCCATCTGTCCGTCCACACCTAACCCCTGGGCGGAATCTGAAAAAGCCTGATCACTACTTCCCAATCGCTCCGCTTCTTGCTGTTGGACCCTTCGTTTCTGTTCAGATCTCTTCAGACCGTGTGGCTGGTAAGACTTGGGCCAGATGAACTGCTTGGCGTACCCAGCATTGTGCACCGTGATGTCATTCTTGTTCAGCCTTGCCTTCCATCCATATTGCATAGCGTAAAACTCATCAACTTCCTGTTCATTCTTCAGTCTCTCGAATCTGTTCGCTGTTGTAATGTCATCCCCCGCTGCTGTGGCTTGTTTCAAATTGCGCAGATGTTTGTGGTGTGCCAGACGAATCACAAATTCAATGTGTCTTTCCCACTTCAGCTTGTGAACGTGTTTGATCCACTGTGCTAGTGACTCCGGTTCGTCCTCCCCTTCTTCCTCCTTCCATTCTTGGTCCCCCTTGTCACTGTCCCCATCCAAATCTGTATCTGAATCAGAATCATGTGACATTTTTCCTGCTTCTTCATCCTCCTCCCCCCTCAAATCCTCTGCTGTGTTTTCCATATCACCTGCAGTTGATCTGTTTGTAGAACTGGTTCGACCTACTGAAGTCCCATGTTCTGTTCGCTGGTCCATTGAAGTTGACGCTGACGCGTCGTCGGGTGAAGTGCCAATTAAAATGAAAAATGCTCATCTCTGGTTATTAGTACTTATTACGTAGTGGGACGGCTCCCATCCTACTGGACGCAGTATTTTCACAGCTATGGAATAGGAACCCACAAGCAGTGGCCCTGTCAGTTTGCCCTCAGGAGAACCAAAAAGACACCAGGACCTGCAGCTGCAGTGTCTGTTGCAGGCACAGCCCTCCATGGATGTCCCTCCCCTCCCATCCACCACTTGTCTATTGGGGGTCCTGATGGTTAACTCGTCAGTAGAACTGGGAGGGGAAGGGGAAGGAAGCAATGAGAGAGAGGGAGAGGGGGAGGGGAGGAGGGGGTTTAGTATAGTGTAGCTACAATGATGGCGGCTCGCGGGGTGATGGCGCAATTGAACAAGGGGAAGTTGCCAGGGGGCGGGAGATAACGCGACAGGGGCTGTGTGAGAAAGTGCCACATTCAAGGGCTTCTGCAGGAGGAGGGGCTGGGGCAGAGACTTGCCAGTGCAGGGCTATTGTATGGAGAAGCTACCATGGGGCGTTAGGAACGTGGCCAGGACCTGAAGGTGGCAGGGACCACCATGTCGACTGCCAACCTAGGGAGGGGCTGCCAAGAAGAAAGATGGTTACCGGGGGAACAGCCAGCCCGGGCAAATGGTGTGCCAATGAATGAGGCTACCGGGGGGGCAGGGCTGATGAGAACAGAGGGCAAAATATGACTCGAGTTACTACAGGGCGAATGGCTACGAGAGGGAAAGGGCCCACCAGAGGGAGGAGCTGCTCAAAGTCCGACAGCCCTGGCTTTGGGGATGGGAACAGCTCCCAGTGAGACTTGGTTGCTGGTTACTTGACAGAGCAACTGTTGAAACTCCTGGGCCCACCAACTAGTGGTGCTACCGAATAGTGGTGCTACCAACTAGTGGTGCTACAAACTAGTGGTGCTCCCAGCCATAGTGGACAGCCCTGGCTTGATCTATAGCCGTTCCCAATAGACAGATTCACAACTGAACCACTGCAGTCGAGACATCACCAGTACAACGGTGTAGCTAAGATTGTTCAGCCACCCTCCCATGACTAGAAATTGCATCAACTTGAAACAGTCAACGCACGTCACAGCAGCAGCAGAATGTCAAAATGACAATGCAGGTTGCAGTAGAAGCAACAAGTCAAATAATCAAGGTTGGACCAAAGTCAAGGCAGATTCAAGCAGTGAAACCAGCAAAAAAAAAAAAAAAAAAAAAAAAAAACAGCGGCCAAGGCAACAGCTAGCCTATCCTGCCCGTGTAGTCAAGCCAGCATCATCAGATATGACGACAGAGTGGTCAGAGTAGAGATTCTGCTCTGCATTCATGCATCCATCCATGCACTCTCACACAGCCTAACC